CAGTAATCCTAGAATATCTAAATATTATTGACCAATCAGAAACATCCTAGTACCTCTAAAGGTCTAAAGGTTATTGACCAATCAGAAACATCCTAGTATGTCTAAAGATTACTGATCAATCAGAAACATGCTAGTACCTATATAGGTTACTGACGAATCAGTAATCCTAGAATATCTAAATATTATTGACCAATCAGAAACATCCTAGTACCTCTAAAGGTCTAAAGGTTATTGACCAATCAGAAACATCCTAGTATGTCTAAAGATTACTGATCAATCAGAAACATGCTAGTACCTATATAGGTTACTGACCAATCAGAAATCCTAGAATATCTAAAGGTTATTGACCAATCAGAAACATCCTAATACCTCTAAAAGTTACAGACCAATTTAAAAAAAATGTTACAGATGTTCAGATTTCCTGGTAAACTTGTGATTGCTTGATGAAACAAATGAAGTGTTTGGTGGAATGAATTTGAACTTGTAGTGTAGTGAGAAAAAGATGCTCTGTGGATAAAAACTTTTTATTATTGTTGTGTCATAATCCATACTATAGTCAAATCACACTATGATTTATTATAATCTACAAATATTGCATATTTTGCAGGACACACAGCAGTATTCATTAAATGAGAAAAAATTAGAACAACTAATACGCATGTGCAGTGATTGTTATTGTATGTATCAAAACAACCGGTGCATATGCATATTAGAAAATTTAATAGCTTCATTGAATGATTACTCAGGTCATGGTAGTCCAATTCATGGAATGCCCCAAATATTTATTACTCCGAAAATATTTTTGGACAGTAAGGTGTCCCATTGAAATAAAAAAACAATCTCCAAAAAATCATTCATTTATTGCAAAGCACAGATAAAAATATTATCAAATCTGTAGGAGAATTTATAAACAATGCATTCTTAGTTAGAAATGAAAAACATGATAAGTAATCTTATCCACAAATGATTAATAAATTATTTTATTGTTTTTTTATTTTATTTTATACTGATAGAAAATTATGTATTTTAAAAGATGTAGTAAAGATATTATTATTATTATCATTAAATGCCAATAACCTGAAAGCTTCTCTACTCTGAAATTAGTTGTATAGTTTATCCCACATACCCCACTCATACTTTCCATTCAGATATTGAAGTTTTCAGCTTCCTTAATATGCATGAACACAATTACAGCAGGAAACCAGGTAAAATGATGGCAGTAGAAATACTTTTACTTGAATATGTAAGTAAAATATTTGTCATACAACTGTGAGGTAAATACACAAATATTAATCACAGAATAGCTTTATAAATTTTAAGCCTCCAAACATGCGAAAATAAACCCACAAAATAAAAAAAAAATCAGGATGAAGAGTTATGTATATCTTGGCAACTTTTCACCAATTAAGTTCATACAACCCACCGTACTAGTAATCCCACCTTAAATGTAATTTCCTGATTTCCTGATTTCCAATGTGAATGAGAACAAGCAATATTAATATTGATAATCTATAGAACGGACTACCAATGAGCAACTCTAGATTTTCCTTGTCCCTACATATCCCGTGGTGGTGGTGGTTGTGCTGGTGGTGGCGGGTGAATGGTGGGTCGGGGTTCATATTGATTAGCGCATAACGGATATAGTAAATTTCATAAGTTATCTACTTGGCTATAACCCCATGGGATGGGGCTAGTAGGACTAAATTACTAGTACTTTATTTAGATCAGTTTTTGTTTTAATTG